TCTGTTCCCTTAGGTGGTGAAAGGCTCTGCTTAAATGGTTCCTTTTTTTTTTCCTTTGTGTCAATTAGCAGCCACGTTGAATGGAAAATTGGTTCTTTCACTGTCTACCTCAATTTGTGTCTCTATTTGTCTCTGTGTATCCACCTCACCCTCTTTCACATTCTCCGACCTCCTTCTGTCAGTATCCCTCATTTCCCATTCCTGCTCTGTTTAAAGTCAGAAATTTGAAGATAACTTGAGAGTGGAGCTGCTGGGAGACTTTTTCCTCCTGACTGGAGTGTTTAGAACTGTGCTCACATTCCCTGGATAATGTGTCTGTCACTTAGGACGGAGATAACGAGACATTTGTTCTCTCAAAAGATTGTGAATGTTTAGAATTGGAAATAAAGTTCCGAATCCATCAGAAAAAAACATCCACAATTATAGGATTATAGTGATGTCTTTCCTGTCGGTGTAAGATGAATGAATGGTGACAGCAGAGAATGAGGGTGATCAGCTCGTCCTGTCTGTGCCATTACCACAACATTCCCTCCTAAATCTGCAGTTTATCCCACCTCACCTCATTATTCCTGCCAAACTGGGAATGAAGGGATGAGAATAGAAGAAAAGGAGAAGCAGACGTGCTTGTCGAACAGCAGAAAGGAACTTCATGATGACTTTGGCAGAAAAAGAGGAGACACTGAAGCAGCCTCCTGATGACAAATGTGTTTTCTTTGCCGGTAAAATTCACCGCTTCACTAAGCGGGAACCATTGAACTGAAGCAGTGACGGTGATTATCTTTGCTGGTTGTTCACCTTGTGTCCACCAAACTATTGCTGCTCATGTCCCTGTCAACACCACAGGGATGACAGTGGAAAAGCATGCTTATTTTCTTACTGACACAGCTTTTGGCCTTTTTTTCACTGGAGTTAAGTTTCTCCTCCAAAATAATCAACTTACTGAGTTTATACAACAGGGAAAGAGACCCATCATCCCAGTTTCCAGCACTTCGCCTGTAGCCCTGTGTGCTCTGCCGTTTCAAGTGTTCATCTCAAAAATTTTTTTTCCCCTGTAATGTTTTAATCTCAAGTGACACAAAGAATGGCACTGAGGTTTGAGATGGTAAAATTGTGTTCACACCCTCTCAGGGAACTGAACCTCATTTTCACCCACAGAGGGAAACACACAGACACATTGCCCCAAGAGTGACAGCGGCCTCAGGAGAGACCAACCCCCAGAAAGCAAGGATTTCGCCCATCTGGCTTATATCATCCCAATTTACACTTCAAAACCAGTGTATAGTTACAACAATGAAAGGAAGAATTCGGCCCCTCCCCTGTCCATGTTTCTCCCCCATTGTTTCCCCGTTACTCTGCATTTTGTTCTGCCCAACTGGAACATTGCTCATGTCAGCTGCTTTCCATCCTCCCGAAAGATCTTCCTCAAGTACCTGGAAGGACAAACAGGAAATTAGTGTTTCAAACGCATTACTGGCTGGGTGAGGAAATGACATGGTGGTGTTAACGCTATTTAATGAGAAATAATTTTGAATGACTTTAAAGAGCTCCTTTGGATGTTGGTTGCAGCAGGTGGTGAAAATTCTCTCACTCCCCAGGAAGAATGCAACTCAAGACCGCAAGGCGAACCGCTAAACTGCAAAGTCATGCATTAGAAACTGCAATGTAATAGATTACTGGATAGCCTGTGCATCATACACGAAGACAATGTGACAAATCCAACGCAGAGCCGAGGCAATCGTGTGCAGAAGAATGGGAAATTGTAATGCCAAGTCAAACAGTGTCTCGGGTGATATGAACAGAGATCTACCCTGGTAGTCTAGTGATGAGGATTCAGTGCCTTCACTGCCATGGCCTTTTAATGGTTAACATTTACAGTAATAGATATAAAATACTGACTAATCTTTAGAAGCAGAATTATGTCATGGACTCGTCAGAATCGCTTCACTGCATGTTACAGGTCCACATCAGCAATGTCAGCTGCAATTGCCTGATGTGCAAACAGAGTAAAACAAGAAGAGAGGGGATGTCAGGAAAAGTGAACGGCTATGGTGGTTTGTGAGAGCTGACTGTAGGCCTAATGGAGCCAGGCCCAATGTGGGTTCTGAAGACTGGTTTTCACTGGTTACCCTGGTATATAATCACTCCAGATCAATCACCCACAATGACTCTCCTTTGTGTGTTGCCCTTTGCACATCTCACCTCGGTTCAGAGCCCAGAGGGGATCCATGCATGTTCACTTGGCAAATTTTGATCAGGTCAGCTTTACAGTCTCGTATTAAGATCATAAACTTTAGGAGCAGAAAGGGACCATCCAGCCCATTCAGTCTGCTCCGCCATTTACTGATCTTATGTCTGATATGATAATTATGAACTGCACTTTCTTGCCTTTCCCCATTACCCTTGATACCTTTACTGATATTAAAAATCTGTTGATCTCACCGTTGAATACACTTAATGACCCAGACCTGACAACAATCTGCTGTAAGGAATTTCACCAATTCATCACCATCTGAGAGAATAAATTTTCCTCATCTGTCTTAAATGTGCGACCCCATTCTGATATAAGGCACTCTGGTGCAAGTTTGCCCAGAAGGAAAACCATTTTTTTGTGTCCAACATATTAAATCTGAAAGAAACCTATATGCTTTAATAAGGAGCAAGTACTGTTTTTATAGTACTGTGTCTGAGCACGTGAAGTCAATGGATTTCAGCACTTCCTCCTGTTTGGTTTCATCCCTGATGTAAAACTTTCACTGATTCTGACAGAGCTATCCCCTTTATGTCTTTTAATGTCAGGAATTCACGTTCATTTTAAGAGTTTCGACAGGAAAAATAAAATCCTCATTCCTATTTCGGAATCAAACCAAGAACACAGCAGTTGCAATGCTGAATCCCAAAAAGGAAAGTGCGCACAATTCTTGCAACTTTTTGTCTTGAAACTGCTTTTGACCTTTCGTTTCAGTTGCAAAACGTTAGTCAGTGAGATTTTAACACCACGGAGAAAGACCCTTCAGCCCATTATATCTGGGCCAGTCATCAAATATCTCACTTCTAAACCCAGTTTCCAGCACTTGGCACTTCACCTCATTTGCTCTGATGTTTCAAGTGCTCATCCAAATATGTAGTCAATGTTTGAGGGCATCAGTGGAACAAAAACACTTTCTTCAACAAACGACAGGAAGCATTGCTGTTTGCTACAATATGAAATCTACATTTTCCTCTTTGAAGACAACTATGAAAGCCAAACTCTTTCTCAGAGCCGTTTGCCAGTTTTCCTCATGATGCCAACAGTGTAGAATAAAATCCCACACCGCCTGAGGTTACAACTGATGACTCTCGACTTTCAACCTCTCTGCTGACATGAGATGTGGTGTCCCTCAGGTTAAACCACCACCAGTTTTGTCTCTCTAATAAGAAAGCAGCCCGGTGACCCAGAATGTGTATGGCGACTCAGTGTCAGACTTTGTGATATTATATCCCTGGGATGCAAAAGGCACGTTTTATACTTTATAAAATGTATAATACATGTCAGTTGTCCTGGTAGGAAGTAAAGAGAAAGATTGCTTGTACACATTACGACAAATAAAATTCAGTCTTTCCAGTGGTGGGCACTTCACCCAGAATTCCGAGCGGTATGTACTGCATTGCTTTTCACTGCGCAGGCTCAGTATGTTCCCGCGTGGCCACAGTCTAGAGCATGCGCAGTGGGAGCGACCCTGAGCAGCCGCTGTCCTTTTCCTCGGCTCCACAAAAGGTAACAATGAGGCGGAACGGAGGAGGCGATAGACCGGGCGGTTAGACGGAGAGGCTTTCTAAACACTTTGTGAATGTGACAGACCCCGCATAAAGAAACTATCTATCCCTGTTTCGTAAAATGTCAAAATCGAGGCTCTCTCTCAAAGGCAGGCTGCGGGTAAAGGCCGCCATATTTGTAGGAGTTTAAAGGGCAGCAGGGCGCATATGCGGTTATCCTGGGCCAGCGGAGCGAATGTTGTGAATACCTTTCCTGGACTGACAGGAATGGAGTTTTTATAAACTGCTTTTACAGGGAGTCAGGAGGGGAGCATTTACACACAGCAAACTCCAAATCAAAGAA